ATTAAGGAGACGGTACGGGATGTCAAGTGTGTAAAAAAGTCTAATTTAGAAATCAACTTTTTCACTTAATTTTTTTCTCTTACTGTAATCACTACCAAATCGATCTAAAGCTGTAAATGGCTTATCGTGATCCAATTCGCCACGCTTACGTTTTTCGCGTTCTTGTCGTTCACGTGCAATTTTTTCTTCAATTTGCAGCTGTATTTTTATGGGTTTATGGAAATTGTTTATGTTAAAAATTTTTTAAGAATAAAAATTATGTTTTCAGAAACGACAGGCTTACCCTCTTTTCATCAATCACATTCTTATTCTTCTTTCGCAAGTATCGTTTCAACGAAGAATTTTTGCCTCGTGTTTTTTTACGAGGTTTTGACATGTCACCAGTGGTTTGTTCAGCCTTATTTGCAACAAAAGTACACCGTGAATTGATTATTCAAACTTTCGTATTTTTAAGTGTTTTAGAATCTTTACCTCTCGTTCCATACGTTCTTTTTCTCGAAGCTCTTGTGGAGTACGATCCATTTTACCAATAAATGATGGATCCAAAGTAATCATTTCAGGTTGAATCTAACATGTATAGAACAAAATTCAATAATATTCTTCGGTATATGTATATTCCTCAATAAATATCATGAACGTACCTTTTCCAAAAGACTGCGAACCTCAGCTTCTTGCCGCTGCTTTTTCGTCTGAAATGGATTCGCTTCCAAACTATCAAAATTCGGTTCTCCGGAACCTATTATCATTCAATATACATATATTAATATTAAATGTAATAAAAGGATTAGAATGTGAAAATTAACACTCACCTGGTATGATTAGACTTGATATTCCCTGTGAATGACCGAACCCCAGCACGTCCTCGTACGGGCAAAAGTGAAGATCTTGAAGTTGTGTGCCACGTTGGATGTGTGTCATATATGGCGATTTCTGTTTTTGAAGGAAAGCGTCTTTCCAAACCTAACGATGTAGTTATTACATGAATTTATGAGATGATATGCAGTTTAAATTTGCATATTTGGAATAAACAAATAAAACTAAATACAAACGCTAATATGAGGTCCCCATCCCACAGCCAATAAACCCATCTGTGAGATCGAGAGCGAGCAGGCAGGAGTAGTCGTAAAGTATTCTTGCAACGATTTATACGTACGGATATCCCAAAGCTTGAGTTGCCCATCAAGACCAGAAGTTGCCATATACCTGTCGTTTGTGCAGTTCAATATTAGATTATTATAATATTGAAGTGGCTTATTGATCAAATAAACATACTTTCCAGTCCGATCAATTGCTAGCGCTGTTACAGGACCTTTATGCGTCAACATTTTAACGAGGGGCGTTGTCATGTTTGGCGACCATAATGTGACAGTACCTAGAGATATACCAAAATCATTCGAATAGAAAATACGATTAGCAACTCTTTTTACATTTAATTTGAATATACCATAAATTTCCTTACCATTGGCATGTCCTAAATGAATAATTGCATTCCAAGGATTCTGAGTCATCGCATCGCATTTACCAAGTTTTGTTCGTAATTCAACGACAAATTTCCCCGTGGATGTGTCTTGATATTTCAACCAGCCGGCATTTCCCTGTCATCCCCATATAAAAAGAAAATTAATACATACCAAATAATATAGCACATTAAAAAATCGAATTACAATAAAATAAAAAAAACTCACCACAGAAACTAGTAAAAAATGATACGGCAAAAACTCCAGTCTATTAGGTTCGATATGTCTTTTTAGACGATGCACTTCAAGTCCATTCTGATCATAAATATACACGTATTTTTTCTGAGCTACGGCAAAATATTGTTCGTTATGAAGCCATCTATAAGTGAAAGACAGACAATCGAGGTAATTACAGTAATTGAAAAAAATTAAGTGAAAAAGTTGATTTCTAAATTAGACTTTTTTACACACTTGACATCCCGTACCGTCTCCTTAAT